GAGCGAAATTTGCAAACAACATCGCACGACGGTTTAAACAAATCCCAGCGATGACAACTGATATTGAAACTGAGTGGCAGCTCTTTAAGAGCGGCATGCTCGAGGCTGTCGCCGAATGCTGCGGTCTTAAACGGGTTGGCATACTACCTGGATGTCAAAAGAAATTTCCTCGTAGACACGAGTAATACTACTGGCACTTAAAGCGATGGCGGCATTCAAGAGATGGTTTTGAAGCAAAAAGCCTTCTACTCTTGTGCGATATGCCGAAACACGTAAGAAAGCAGTGGCGAATGGCAAAGCTAATCCCAGGGAGAAGTTCGGCGAGGTCCTGGAGTCGAATTTCCTGACGGCAAACAAGGTATTCTGGCGAAAAAAATCCATACGTGAAAAGAAGGGCAATCTAAGAGTCCTAAGAACAAATCTGGACAGCCTCTTGCCAAGCATAAGGGCATTCTTCAGCGATGCAGAGAGTATTTTGAGAAACTGTTTAACCCCGAGCAACCGGTGGAAGACTCGCCTGTAGAGTAGCAGGGAACGGATATTACTATCTCCGTAGATAAAATCACATAAGCTGTGAAAAGCTTGAAAAATGGTAGGGCTGTTCAAATTCATGAAATCCGCCCTGAAATGTTCAAAGTATTAGGCGAACAAGACATGTGCTTACACATGGCTGGCACATGTGTCAAACCGCCATGACTGCGGGAAAGACTCCAGCGGATTGGAGAACGGAAATTATTGTACCCGTAATCAAGAAGGTGGACCACAAGGAATGCTCGAAATATAAGGGCATTACATTATTGAGCCTCCCAGGCAAAGTCTGCACAAAGGTGCTAGAAAGGAGCCGCGAATAACTGACTCTTAGATACAAGAGCAGTGTGGCTTCCGGCCCGGTCGAAGCACCACTGACCATACATTAAGCCCTGCGCCAGATTGATGAGAAATCGTGGGAGTACGCCCATCCGTTGTAAATGTGTTTTGTGAACCTAGAAAAAGCGTATAACTGCATCCCATGCAACAGTCTGTGGCCATTCCTTCGAGCATATGGGATGGCCATGGCCAACTGCTAAGGGCCATCCAATCACTGTATTCTGATAGCAAGTGCTGCTTCAGAGTAAATGACGTTAAGTCAAAGAATTTCAGCGTCGGCACTGGCCTTATCCAAGGCTGTGTTTTGTCCCCTCTCCTGTTTCTATTGTATATGGATATAATAGTCAAGAGCAGCCAAGGCAATGAGTGCATCGGTGTAGGATATGCGAAGAAAATTGCTGTTTGCAGACGATCTTTATTGGCATCTTCAGTGCTCCCTGGAAAGGTTTGCAGCCAAATGCGAAGTGATCGACTTGCGTGTATCTAAAACGAAGAAACAGTTCTTTCTCCTTCTGCTGCCCTCTACTCGTTTCAAATTACCAGAGAGACAGCGGAGCAAGTGAGGTTTAAGTACCTCGTAGTCGTATTACTAATGATGGAAAAATTGAAGAAGAGAGACTGGCGAATTGGAGTAGTCAGTGGCATTGTGTGTAAACCTACCAGATCCTCTGTGACTACAGCAAAGCTTAGTCTGAAAACTAAGCTCTCGGTATTCAAGTTGATCTTTATCCCCATGCTTACCTACGGTCATGAGTCGTGGACCATCAATGAAATGGGTACCTCAAACCCGGCTATAAGCTGATGAAATGGGCTTTCTTATGCGAGTCGCTGACCTTGCGCTTCTCGAGGTGGTCTGGAATACTGACATTCGAGAAATCATTGGTGTAGAGCCTCTGCTTCTCCAGATTGAGAAGTCACGGCTGCGATGGTTTGGCCATGTGTTACGAATGCGTCCAGAAAGGAAGTCTAAGCAACTGTTCCTTGCAAATCCGACCGGTGGAAGGCCAAGGGGACGGCCAAGACTAACCTGGTGCAAATATATGGAAGGAGACTCTATCTGCTGCCGAAGCTCAGACTCTGGCACAGGATCGGGAACGTTGGAAGCTCTGTCTGAAAGGTCTGCCTCCGCGACCTGAATGGAAAAGCGGCCATGGAAGATGAAGATGAAAAGAACTTCATAATAGCATGTTTTAGACTTAAATAACTAACACATAAAACACTTACCGTTGAAGTTGGAAATCACCTTGCTCAGTACGCACTAAAACGAACGACTCAGTATGTATTTCCTGTCAGTGAAAACAAATGAGGCAAAATTGCACTTTTGCCTCAGGGTCAGCTGATAACAAGCTCTTGTATGTCACTGACACAGTTTCTGCATCTCATGCAAATTTTCCTCTCTGCAAGAACCCACCGTTCGTGTATTGTAAGTTGTTTATTCCCTTAGTCCTCGCACTGAATATGTTCGCATCTAAGAAAGAAGAAATTACATACTACGCGACAAAGCATATAAAAGCGTATATTTGAAATCGTAAGACAGACGAATAAAATTATCATAAATCATCCAGATGTATGTTGTTAAAATAAGCTACAATAATGTAAGCTTATTCACGAATGTCTCAGAGGACACTGTCTGCTACGTGAAGAAATTTTGAAATGAAACTAATTAATTTTTAACCGTGAAGTAAATTCCAGTACTGTCCATGTGATGTCATGAATCAACGTCTCTCGCAGTCTCCTATCGTTTGCATGCTTTTTCTCGCTTCTAGTTGCTTACGTTTTTGAGCGAGTTTAAAAATCATTCCTCTCATACAGCGCAAGTTGCGAGCATCGTGTAAAGTTGTGGATCAGTTGTCAGGTTGATTTCTTAGCGAGCGGCGACGAATTTATTGTTTTCGCAGCGACTGGTTACAGGTCATAACTTATCAGACAACTAGACACTAAAAAATCCGCCATTCCAGCAATCAACACCACAAGAAGTAGGTTCAGCGTTGCCTGTTGGAACGTTCATTCCCGTTTTGGTGAAGGTAAATTGGATGGTGACTGCCTTACAACCCGTCGGTACAAACTTAATGAACTTGCGGTCAGGGAAGTTCGCCTCCAGGGGAAGGGAACGCTTGACCTGCAGGGGGGAGAGTCAGTTGGTCATGTCGGTGAGGATATCCTCTTGTCATGTAGGGTAGATCGGGCGGTCATTTTGTTGAAATAGGTGTTAGAAAGAATCCTGATGTGCCGGATGAATGTGAAACAGGCGACAGTGAATATGACGGTTGTGTCAAGGGATAGCGACAAAGAAGCTTTATATGACTGCTTGCAGTATGCCATTAGCGCTTTTTCACGTCACGATGTCACAGTTGTGACAGGTGACCTCAACGTGAAGATGGGCTCCGCGTGCAGCACATAGGCAGGTGTACTCAGTCGTCACAATATTGACACCGGCTGGCGACTGTTAAGCTTTTGTGCGGCAGATAAGTTAATCGTCAGCAGTATTCCCTCAGAAGCGAATACACCAAGCTACCTAGACAGCCTCCGATTGAAATGAATCACCTCTTCATCAGCTGTAGATGGCGCATATGTATCATATTATAACTTCTTTTCAACGTAGTTGAAACTGCTTATAATCAGCATATCGCTTACCTAATTAAACAGCGGATAGAATCACTGCGATCACTAACCACCTGATGCAGAACTTGTATACAAAAAAGTGAGATGAAAAATTCCTAAAAGCGATGAGCATCTATGCAACACAAAACAGTGCCCTGAAACGTGCTTTCTGGATCAGTAGTGCTTTTGTGCAACGGCTGAACGGTACAAGGTCGAAGGAATACCGTAATGGCAAGAAACTCCATTGCCATAGACATAAATGTAAAAGCTTAATAAACTTAAACAAATGGATTTAATATGTAATTTACCTTATTACAGAATCCGGACGATAAACAGACCAAGAAAAATTATGCGTCATGATGGCTAAAATAACGCATGTGAATTGTCAAAGGGATGAGAAATCACACACTAAAAAACTTGTTGCTAGGCATATTAGCAATAACCAGCGTCTCGACTACCTCTTACCTTCGTATTCAATCCCCGTATAAGGTTGCAGCGAACGCAACACTAAGATGTGTTTGTTCAGCCAAAGTACATGCCAGAAAAGATAGCGCAAGGCGAAGCAAAGTGCACAGAGGGCATGTTCACATTGATTCGTCTTTCACAGTCTGACTAACGTCTATGTAAATAACCATGCCATACAGTAAGACACTTCGAAAAGAAACTACAGAAAAAGGAGAATGATAGAATAAATTAGGAACAAATTAAATAGCGGGGAAGATACGCACATGATTAGTTCAACCTGGTTATCGCTGCTGCACCAACAACATTCCAGCACTTACCTTTATGTATGGTTTGTTTTTCTCCTGTACTGTACGTTAAAACCCAAAAATAAAATT